AAGCAGAGACCCAGAGCCACTCTCAGACTCTAGCGCTCCTGCCTCCTCTTTTGCCCTAAGGGACCCTGTGATTACAGTGGGCCCAACTGGCTAATCCAAGAAACTTTTCACCCCAATATCTTAGCTTTGTCATCTCTGCAAACACAGTTGGGCAATGTCAGGTCACATATGCAGGGCTTCCAGGTGTTAGGAAACGGCTTTATGTGGGAGACCATTATTCTGCATTCTGAAACCATCTAGGTATTGTTTTGTGAGTTATAGGATAATCAGTTAATGGAAATCAGAAGGTACTATAAGGAAAGGAAATTCATTGAAAAATTCTGTACACATTCTGAAGGACTTTAGGGCACTTGGACTTTAATTACTTCTTAGCAAATTTGGCTACTCATTTTCTTAAGGTCATGTGAATTTTTTTTTAAGATTTATTTATTTTTTGAAAGGCAGAATTACAGACAGTGAGAGGGAGAGAGAGAGATAAAGGCCTTTCATCCGCTGGTTCACTCCCCAAATGACCACAATGGCCGGAGCTGGGCTGAGCTGAAGCCAGGAGCCAGGTGCTTTTTTCCAGTCTCCCACATGGGTGCAGGGGTCCAAGCACTTGGGCCATCTTCTACTGCTTTCCCAGTCCACAGCAGAGAGCTGGCTGGGAAGAGGAGCAGACAGGACTAGAACCAGCACCCATATGGGATGCTGGCGCCGCAGGCAGAGAATTAACCTACTGCGCCACGGCACCGGCCAGAATTATACAGAGAGAGAAGGAGAGGCAGAGAGAGAGAGAGGGAGGTCTTCCATCCACTGGTTCACTCCGCAGATGACCAAAGCAGCTAGAACTGTGCTGATATACGCCTACCTGAAGCCAGGAGCCAGGAACTTCTTCCTGGTCTCCCACAAGGGTGCAGGGGCCCAAGCACTTGGGCCATCTTCTACTGCTTTCCCAGGCCATAGCAGAGTGCTGGATAGGAAGTGGAGCAGCCGAGTCTAGAACCAGCACCCATATGGGATGCTGGTACTGCAGGCGGTGGCTTTACTGACTGTGCCACAGCGCCACGGGTCATGTGAAGTTTGTATATCTGTTTTTTTGTTTGTTTGTTTGTTTTACAGGCAGAGTGGACAGTGAGAGAGAGAGACAGAGAGAAAGGTCTTCCTTTGCCATTGGTTCACCCTCCAATGGCTGCCGCGGCCAGCGTGCTGTGGCCGGCGCACCGCGCTGATCCAATGGCAGGAGCCAGGTGCTTCTCCTGGTCTTACATGGGGTGCAGGGCTCAAGCACTTGGGCCATCCTCCACTGCACTTCCTGGCCACAGCAGAGGGCTGGCCTGGAAGAGGGGCAACCGGGACAGAATCTGGCGCCCCGACCGGGACTAGAACCCGGTGTGCCGGCGCCGCAAGGCGGAGGATTAGCCTAGTGAGCCACGGCGCTGGCCTGTATATCTGTTTATGCCATAGTGGATGATACCTAGTTTACAAGGTAGATAGCATATTAACAGACAATTGGGATTTTCTAGATACTGTCTTAATTTTTTTAGGTTCCCAGTTTCTGATTTTCTCTATCCTTGATTTATTTTTTTAATTTTTTTGTTATCAAATTTTGTCTCCCCATCAGAAAGCACAATTAAAATTTTAAATTTATTTTCATTTTATTTGAAAGGCAGAGAGAAACACACACACACACATACACACACAGATGAGAGAGAGAGAGAGAGTGAGGGGGAGAGAGAGAGAGATTCCAACTGTTGATTCACTCCTCAGATGCCCACAACACCAGAGTTGGGCCAGGTTGAAGCCAGGAGCATCAAACTCAATGTGGGTCTCTCATGTAAAACTCCATTGGGTCTCTCACGTGGATGATAGGGGCCAAAGTACTTGAGCCATCATCTGCTACCTCCCACGGTGTGCATTAGCAGGAAGCTGGAATTGGAAGTAAAACTGAAACTCAAACCCAGGCACTCTTATATGGGATGTGGATACCCACACAGTATCATAACCAACCTACCAAATGCCCACCCCTACCCTTGTTTTCTTGTGACATCTCTGAGTATGTCTGCCAGTACTAATTTCTAACTCTATTACCCATAAAGCACTGTACTGAAAATTTTATTCTCAATAAATATCAAAATATTCTTCCTTTGACATTTTGTGTCTGTAAACAGAAGCTTTCAATCATAGTCATGTCTGCCTGAATTTTGTCCTGATTTTTACTATCTCCATGCAGGCTTATTCCAAGAAAATTCTCAAAAACATCTCTTACCTACTTTGCTTCATTCTAATTCCCACAACTACCATCATGTTTCAGGTCCTTATTCCTGTATTTGAACTTCACAAATGTCTCCTAATCAGTATGCTTGCTTTTATCTTCTTTCCAAAACACCTCTGTTACATTAGTTTTTCTAAAGACTTATTGTTATTCAAAATATTTTAGAAACTTCCCAGTGACTATAGAATAAAGTTCTCACCTTTAGTAGGATATTAAAAATACACTTCCATTTTAAGCATTTTGATTTCATGTCTGATCTCAACTCTAGCCTCTTTTTCTCATGCTTTCCTGGACTAGTCCATCTTTTAACAGGGATGAATTTCTACAGCAGTTTTTCATAGCAATCCCTTGGTAATTTTTCCAAACCATTTCTAGATTTATCTTTCTATCTTTTATGTTTTTCCTGCCACTAAATTTTACCAGGGTAGTATTTGTGTTTTATAGATATTTGAATCCTTTATAATCTCCAGCACTAAATAGGATATTTATGGATAAAAGAGAGTGGAACTTAAGGCAACAGTTTCTAGACTTTTTTTTTATGACAATGGTATAAAATAATCAATGTTTTCAAATACATTTCAATACTATCTAAAGTATGCATATTAGGGTTACTTTCTAAAGCACTAGTATTGCGTTTTCATGGCTATCCTGTAGGGTTAGGTTATATATTCCCATTTAAACAACTATGTGCTCTCCAAAAAACCATTCAATCAAGGATGTGCAGAACCAGATCTCCTGCCTACTTGTATGTTCTTTCTATTTTACTCTCTGACCCCTCAGAAATGCTTTTTTATTTAACCAGGTTTAGGTCTCTATGAAGGCCACTTAGTAATCACATGGACTGTGTTCATTATTTTCTCTAAAGTGACCTTGCTCCTTTGGTTCTCTATTGGCAGAACAACGTTCCTATACCTCATGAATTAAAGCAAATCCTAAAAAGACTCCTTACTTTCTTACTTCATTCTCTTGTGTTTTTCCATTACCTGTTTCACTTTATTCTTTCACACAAAATAAAAATGCAAAGTATACTTGGGTTGTTTCAATATTGTCCCAAGTATGTGTAGGGTTGACTCCCTATTAAAACTCACAGAAAGCCTCATTTGTTTGACTAAACTCAGGATTGGGATTTGGGGAATTATGATAATTGTGGCTCATCTTATGATCCTAGACCAAATACTTTATTTTTCTTTGCTGTATTTGCTCCATTAACGGAAGGTAAGGTTGATTGTGTGTAACCAAAAGGTTGATTGCAAAGGATAGTAAATGTTGCATGCAAGTTGTGAGCATAAAGCTGTATATGAAATCTAAAGTATAGGCATCTCAACTGCCATGGGGAAATAGAGATTTTAGATCTTCTTCCCAGGAGTCCAGCAATGAATGCAATTTCCAGATACATTTTCCACACAAATAATATTACGCTTTTTTTTTAAAGATTTATTTTTTTGAAAGGCAGAGTGACACACACAGAGTGAGATATGTATCTTCCATCTGCTGATTCACTCCCTAAGTGACTGCAATGGTGAGGGCTGGGCTAGGTCAAAAACAGGAGCCTAGAATTCCATTTCAGTCTCCCAAATGGGTGAAAGAGGGCCAAGTTTTTGGGCTATCTTCTGCCTTCTCAGGCTCATTAGCAGAGAGCTGGATTGGAAGTGAAAACAACCGGAACTTGAATCAGCGTTCATATGGGATGCTAGTGTCACTACATTACAACAATGGCTGGCCCCATATTATACATTTTAAATAAACAAAGCATATTTCAGTATCTCAGAAATATTGATGATGATGATGATGATGGAGAAGGGGAAGAAGAAAGAAAAGGAGGAGAAGGAGGAGGAGGAGGAAGAGGAGAAGAAGGAGAAGAAAAAGGAGGAGGAGGAGGAAGAGGAGGAGGAAATTGTGGTTATCTTTTGTTAAGAATTAAAAGTGTACTGGTTGGGCCGGCGCCGCAGCTCACTAGGCTAATCCTCCGCCTTGCGGCGCCAGCACACCGGGTTCTAGTCCCGGTCGGGGTGCCGGATTCTGTCCTGGTTGCCCCTCTTCCAGGCCAGCTCTCTGCTGTGGCCCGGGAGTGCAGTGGAGGATGGCCCAAGTGCTTGGGCCTGCACCCCATGTGAGACCAGGAGAAGTACCTGGCTCCTGCCATCTGATCGGCGCGGTGCGCCGGCCACAGCACGCTGGCCGCGGCAGCCATTGGAGGGTGAACCAATGGCAAAGGAAGACCTTTCTCTCTGTCTCTCTCTCTCTCTCACTATCCACTCTGCCTGTAAAAAAAAAAAAAAAAAAAAAAAAAAAGTGTACTGGTTTCTGGGATTTGTTATCAAACTCACAACTTTACAAAGGTTCCATGACATATATAATCTTATGTATCTTATGAAGGTAGAGAAAAAGAATTGAGGTTCAATCAGGATAAGTGGATTGTATAAAGTCACAAAGGCAGTGGGAGGCAGGACCAATCCTCCTCTGATCCTTGGAGTTTGTAACCAGTATGCTGCGCCACCACCACTGACCAAGGGCCTGGGCCTTCATCAGTGAACTGGGAAGTGAAAGCTCTTCTTGTTTTCTTGGTGCTACTTTGACTCACGGTGACTAATTTGACTTGTTAAGCTAATGATATTATAAGGGAATATCAGTTAGAAAACAGCTGCAGATTTTAGCTTGCTTAATTTTGGTTTAAGTATGTGATCTTCTGCTCTCTTTGCTGGTTCTTTTTCCCTCCCCTCCCTCCCTCCCTCCTCTATGGTTTCAGTGTGCCCCTCAATGCAACTGTGTTGACCCTGTAAGAACAGGTGGAACCTGTAAGAGATGACCGCTCATAAGGACTCTGCCTCCTGAATGGATTGTTACTCATATGGAAGCGGGTTGGTTACCTGAAGAATTACTTATTATAAAAGTAGTCTCTCTCTCTCTCTCTCTCTCTCTCTCTCTCTCTCTCTCTCTCTTTCTCTTTCTCCCCCTCTTATGTGTTCTAACCTGTGGTTCCTTCCTCCATGTTATGTTATAGCAAGAAGGCCCTCACCAGGTGTGGCCCTATAATTTTGGATTTCCCAGCCACAGAATAATGAGCCAAATAAATTACATTGTTTATAATTTAGTCTGTGACCATCTGTTATAGTAGCAGAAAATAGTCTAAGACTCCTTATCCCATCCATCCCTACCTTCCTCTGTTTCTTCCTTCCATCTTTCCAATTTAGATTTTGACTTCAACTCTAATACAATAAGGATTTACGAAATTACTGTTTATTTCTAACACCAAATATCCATTACATTGTAGCAATATTTATGGTTTTCTTGACATGTCACGTAATGTGATATAGTAACAATACCTTCTATTTATTGAATACAATGCTGCTAATATCAGAACATCTCTCCAAGTAGTTGTTGATTTTTTTTTAACTTAAAGTATTTTAACAACATAATATGGCATCTACTTTGTTCTTACAGCAAGCCCTAACTTTTATTCCCTGGTTGTTATGGCCTACAGAATTCACCCAGAGGTATTTATATGTTCATTATATATTTATTGGCCTCCTCTCTCATAGAAGAATCAAGATGTTTGATCTTTATGAGATCCCACCAACCCATTCATTCATTCCATAACTAAACACTGGGCACAGGAGTGAACAAAACAAATGAAATACTCTTCATGGGATTTATCCAATGCATGTGTTCTAGTCATGTTCAACAATCATTTAATAGGTTTAAGATTGGATAGATTTTTTTCTCCTGTGCACATAGGACTCTGGTGGATTTGGTGAGAAAATTTAGATTGAGGTTTTACATTAGTTATCATACAGATATTTTCAGTTTGTTACTCTTTTCTAGTTTTCTCCTTGGATAATTTTGATTCACCTGAATTGTTCACTTTATCTTTTTCTACTCCTTTTGGTTTCTTCAATGATCTCAACACTTCCTCCGTAATTCTTCCTCCCCACTCCCACACTTCAATACTCTCAAAAGCCCTGTCATGTTTCATTCTGTAGATGAGGAAGTTAAGATTCAACAAAGTTAAGTAACTTCCTCAGGTCACATAGCTAGTAAGTAGTAGACCTGAGATTTTGACTCAGTTCTATCTGACTTCAAAAGCTGAATTAGCAACCACACTTTAGTCTTCTACTCTTTTAAAACTTTCTTCTATGCATATGCCATTAAGCACTTAACCACATGGTGTTATGACTTCTCTGAGCTACGCTGTGGCTCTGAGCATAGTCAAAACTTGGGCCTATAATCACAGCTGTGATGAAGCCTGTATCATTCCTGGTGCTACTTTCAGCACATCATAGGTCAGACCCTCGGGAAAATTTAGTGTTTTTTATGCCATTCAGTGTCTAGAGGAAAACCAGTCATTTTTACTGGGAAATCTTTTGACATTCAGCCTCTCTTAGTTTGTACCACGTCCCACACTACTCAGCAGAAATCTTGCTCCGTAAATAAATCTGGACATATGCACGGCTGTTTATAATCATTATTAACTGAGATATCTGAGGAAGTCCTTTTTAGCACTTGTGAGTGATGCAACCTGTCAGTATCTCTGGTCACAAACCTTTTCACCAAGAACGGATGATTAAGAACGTTATCTTCTTTGAGAGCTGTTCTGAATTTTGACATTTTTCTATTCCTACCTGAGCTGAGAGCAGTGGTAATTGATGTGACCTCCCAAGTAAACACAGTAGGTCCTTTTAAATAAAGATACTGGATCAAAGCGCACAGTAAGATTGCATGGTTAGGAAGTAGGGAAGGAATCACTAAATGGAAGAGTGAAGAGCAGCGTGGCAGAATGGAAAGAGCACTACATGAGATTCACACTACTTGTTTCCCTTTAACAAGTTAACAAATTTTCAGGGTCTGAATTTTGTAATTTATGAAATTGGTTATGTTATACTATCCAGTGACTGTACATCAGAATTACATCAAGAGTTTTAAAATCAGATTCCCGTTCGCCCGGCAAGATGGCGGAATAGGAAGGGAGCACACTGATAGTCTGGGGAGAGATAGTTTAATAAAAGTGGAGATACTGCAGGTTCAAGGAAGAGTAGGGGAGGAAACAGCAGAAGAAACTCTTCCGGAACGCGTGACTCACAGCGGACCTGCGTGGACAGCGTGGGAGCCCACAGTTTGGGACATCAGCGGCAGACTCAACACACCAGCGCTGGAACGCGAGGTGAGCCGAACCTCAATAGCCCGAGACACCGGCAGGCAAGCGGAGAGAGGAGAC